GCCACAAATGTAAGATAACGTCCCACAGAACTGACGATCCGCATGCAAATCGTACATTGAGCAACATATAGTGTAATAAGTACATACCCACTGCACATAACTCTATAAGCTGAGTTAAGCAGTCTGATGGTTGCTTTTAATTACACTGAGTGGTACTTTTGGTAATTTAGTGTATAGAATTGTTGACCTCTCGCGAGGAAAACAAAGATTGTTCTTTTAGAGTTTTTTTTAATGAAGCTATGCATCAACAAGGAAAGGTGGAATGCTTCGGGTTTAGTTAAATATCTCTTGGAAAATAAATAATCTCAATCAATTAACGAGAGATTAACCGATTGTACCCATTGTAACATTGGTCAACGCACGACGCTTGAAATTCAAGGAAACACTCATAACTTCGCTCAATCTATTTAACACAAATAAAAGACTTGTAAATGGGACGAAAAACTGGTGACACAAAAACACGCACCTCAACAGGTCTGATATCTGGAAATAGTCTACACTGGGTCAAAGCACACAACAGCACATTCATGTTATTTTATTTATCAGGGACCCTCTTCGCGAACGTATTATTTCCCCAATCTGTAGAGAAAGATATCAACTTCTCTTATTTATATATTAACCTTTTTCGTTGTATCTACTTCGAGAAACATATTACGAACAACCTACCATGAATACCAAGCACATTTACTGCAAAACTGGACTGTGACACAATTCACATTGCTCAGTAGTCTTTGCACGATATGGAATGCCACGCTCCCAAACTAAAGTTTGCTTCTATTTTTACAATGAATAATACAGACATGATTCCACTGAATTTGGACACTCCAATCCAATTAACTACAAAGGTGCGCATTCTTTTTGTTGTAAGTGCACATGCTTTTTCTGATAGAATTCTGTGTTTTAGGAGAAGCCACATGTCAATTTACGTATGTAAATGTACTTTTTGACGAATTGATTAAGGTAGTGTTTGCCTCTTTAACACTCATTTTTCTTTGCATACATACAAAATTGTAATGTAGTTTAAATGTAATCCGATTCTCAAATTGGACCATACAGCCCGTCTTTGTGGATCTGTTTCGATGATTGGTATTCGTTGCTTGATTGGCATCGGTAGAACAAGCGGTAATGTCATGCAAATTTTGTCTATGCAGCACATGTTTAGGGCTGCATTCTTGTAAAACAGTTTGAAGTTGACCTCAAAGTTGCCCAAATTGTTATTGCACGTTTTCCTTTTTTGAAACATTCCAATGCCACGTCACACTAAGATGGAGATGGCTAAGGTGCAATGACCAGCACTGTGAGTTCAATTCGAATAGTCTAATTCCTCGAGTGCATTCTATCTGCCCCATTCACGGTTATCTTCACACAAGCTTTTATCCACTAAAGAGTCTTTCGGAGATACTGAAAGTGAATTCGTATACTCGATAAGACAAAATCTTCAGTGTCATTTTGGCAGCGAGAATAATATAACTCCATTGTTTTTTAAATCAAGCTAAGATAGTCGTAAATTCCACACCTTACTTTTTACTTTTGATCGACCAACTCCTGCGGGAGGATAAGTCGGCTTTCTGGATGTCTCTAATGATGGCGGCCCATTCATGACGATCGGTTGCAAGGTTGGCGAAGTGAGAAACCCAGTTCCGGTTCCAGTTGCGAACTTCATATACGGATTGAAGACCCAGTAATTGCAAATGCGCTTTGATCGTGCTACTCCAGGTTTTCAGTTGACCACTGAGTCGGCAACGCCATTCACGGCACGGTGCGGAGGCTACAGCCTGTCGCGAGAGTTCAGTGTCGTGCCTTCGGGGCACATGGCCAAACCACTGAAGGCGCAGGCGTTGTAGCATTTTTGAAAGCTTGTCAATGTTCAAGCAACGCCGTCAAACCTCATCGTTGGGAATCCGATCTCTTCAGTTTGCTTTCAAAATGCGGCGTAAGCACCGATGATCAAAGACTTCGAACTTCCTTGTATCTTGTATTCTTAGTGGCCAGTTTTACAGCCATAAGTGAGGATGAGGCGGATGGAAGCCTGATAGACTCGAAGTTTATTTCGCATCGATTCCACAACGGTTCGAGGAGTTGTCGGAAGGCTCTTCTAGCTTCATCTACACGGAGTTGGATTTCATCCTTAGCCTGGCCGTTTGGACTCATCGTAGAGCTAAGATTCTTGAAAACTTCGGTTGATTCAACAGACTCCCCGTTAATCAAAAGGGGTTGTGTCATGGTAGAAGTTTCGGTGGAAAATGTCTTCGTTTTCGACGTGTTGATCTCCAACCCAATGGACCGGGCAAACTGATTTATACGACTGACAATAGGCTGGAGGTTGTCCATGCTGTCTTCAAGTACAATGACATCATCCGCAAACTCGAGGTCCACAATCCATGTACCCGGGCCAAGCTGCACTCCAGGGTAGTTGATGAGTGCTTGTCGCATTATCCAATCTACGGTGTACTTGAATAACACCGGCGATAGTGGACAACCTTGCCTAACTCCGGAACTTAGGGTAAACTCAGCCGATTCTTCTCCATAGGTACGGACGCGTGTCCGGGTTCCTGAGTAGTATGACTTTAAAAGCCTGATGAACTTCTCAGGTATCCCATCAGACCGCAATATGCACCACAAGGATTCTCTATCGGCAGCGTCAAACGCAGCGCGGAAGTCAATGAAACATGCATTGGTAGGCTGTTGAAACTTGTAGAGGAGTTCCAGAATTCTACGGAGAGTGAAAATTTGTTCAACACAGCCTTGGTCCGGGCGAGGGTGTGTAGCCTTGACAACTGCGAAGCGATTAGGTAGCATCACTGCAAGCAATTTGGCCGCAATATCAATCAGGCTAATACCCCTGTGATTTTCGCATCTAGATCTGTCACCCTATTTTGTGTTGTATTGTATTGTATTATGTATAACTTTTGCAAGCACTGGAGCTCACATTTCAGTTAAAAAGCATACACGCTAACCGTCACAATGTACATAATCAACGGGGAGAAAAGTTTTCGCAGGCATGGAGACATTCATAATCCAAGGTTAAGACAAAGTTCACTCATTGTTCACTCTTTGTTTGTGAGTAGACGAGCAAGATACGGTATGGGTGAATTGCGGTATGCATTAATTCGAGATAAAATTTGGCGGAATGGGGAGCGTGTTTAATGATGATGGGAATGACAAAGTGTCAGTTCTGCATACAATGGGTGGGACAGGGACTAAAATTGAAGCCGTCCAGTCTTTTGGAAAACCTTCTCCCAAATGGTATGGAAAAGAGAGTGCAACAGGTCGATTAGAGTTGGTTAGTAAGCTTTAAATAACTCTGGTGGTATCCCGTCTTCTCCAGGGGCCTTCCTGTTTTTCAGAGAAGTGA